CGTTGGCTATAGCACCTAGTGTAAATCATTTGTAAAGAAAACGCATAAGTTTTTAACTTAGCCTACTTTGAATGTTAATATTTAATGATAAAATTTTATAAAAAACTGTACTTACAAGTAAAATTTCTCATTCCAAACTGGATTAAGTTCTTGTGGCATTGTTTTTGTGCGCTTTTTTACTTTTCCGACTTGAACTGTTACATAAGGATCTGATGTTCCACTTTTATCTTTAGCAATGAGGCCTTGGGCACAAATTACTGAAAAAAAAAAAAGAAGTCTGAGATATCCAAATCAAGGAATTGATAACTCAGTTGATGATAGTTAAGATATTTGATACAAAAAAATGTATACATTAGATTTTAAAATTTTCACAAAACATTTTTACTGTTGTTATAACATACTTAGTCAAATTGCAATTTGTTTACCTATTTTGTGTTTAATTTTTTAAGAGTAGTTTTTTTTTTGCTTTAAGTCATATACATAAATAGCTGAAATTACATTCTAATCAAAACTGGCTTAATGAATTTTGAAATTTTTGTTTAACGTTACACGAAATGTTATTAATATAATACGCTTGAAATTAAGCAATGATCTACTTTGTTGTAGAAAAATGGTTCTACAAAAACTAAAAAAATCATGCATATGACAATATCTTGAAGCAACCTTTGCTTCCAACATTACTCGTCAAATGGCCAAGTCTGAGAATTGCTTTATATGCACATAAATCTTTTCGTGTAAGTACTTATTTTTATTAAGGTTGGAACTGCATGTATGTCTGTGGAAGAAAATGTGTCTACATATTTTTCCCAGTGTGCCGAGATCGTGCTGAGAACTCGCACATACTTGTGCTTAGCCAGTTTCCGATTCGCCAACCGTTTGGGCGTTGTTTAATCGTCTGAAACTCGAAGACACAGCGCGCATAGCTCAAAAATATCACATCCAAATACCTAATTCTCAGCAATCCAGTGTGTTAAAGTTTTTTCTTTATGCTATTTACTATAAAACATGCATTATAACTAATCCAAAGTGAATAATCTTATTGAAATGAATAAAATTAATGGTCAATTAATTAAAAGAAGTATAATACTCAATAACCAAATAAAAGTGTGGCCAAGCGAGTGTTTCTAGTTACTTAGCATTAGGCTTTCAAATAACCACAAACCTAACAAACAGAAGTGCACACAAGTAAACCCTTTTGAATACTCAAGATAAGGCTCTTACAATTTAAAATGTTTAAAATATAAATAAAAGCGTGAAAAAGCGAGCGCTTTAAGTAACTTGAGATTAGGCTTTTGATTTTACGGATACTTTGTAAATAAATAAAAACGTATACAAGCAAGCACTCTAAACTACTTGAAATGTGGGTGTAAGGGTTTAAGATACTTAATTAAATAATGAAATCGTAGCCAAGCAAGTGATTTAGACTATTTGACAATAGAAAATGTTTTCAAGCTGTAGAATAACAAAAAATTAAATAAAAGCTTGGCCAAGTAGCTTTTTTGATAACTTGACATTAGAATACTCTCTTTGAATAAACATTACTTAGTAAATACACAGAAATGCTTGCAAACTGACGCTTCGGATCACTATTTTTGCATTCTCGACGTATTATTTTTACCTAATAAGAACCAACGGACAGTGTGTGCTTGGGTACTCAAGAGTAGATAAGCTATGGCGATTCCAGCCCAGGTGGGCTCGAGTCGCCAGGCGATTTCGGCCTACTCCCTCTCCGCGGCGAGCGGCCCCTCTTTTCGGGTGGAGTGGTCCCTGCTGCAGCCAATGGGCGAGCAGGAGCTGTGGCTTCCTCGCATTCCTTGTGCGTGCGTTGCTTGAGGTTGCGTGCGCCAACTGCAGTGCTGCTTGAGTTTGCGCGCGCTGTTTGGTAATTTTCGCCAGCTGAAGGGTGCTTTAAAAAGAAATACTTGGGCTTCTGCATTGATAGTATTGAGCGGGAGGATAGCCAATTCTTGGAGCACATAATCATTACAAAGTTTCTTGAAACCTTGCATGTCCACAAAATACTACATCTTTCGCAATTATAGTATTTAATTTTATTGCTTTTTTATTTTTTCGTAACCTTGATTTTTAGGACAAGATCCTTTGTTGGTTGAATATTTATCGATGAAGTTTTTCAGCCCAGATTTCTTATTTCTATCATAATCATCCTTAGTTGGGATTTTTTGATACTTAAAATTAGTTGTAAAATTACTCGTACACAGTTAATGTAACATATTGATTAAACTAAAGCTTATTAAACATAATTATTTTCAGACAATTTTACAGTCTTTATCTTTTGATTTTTCCGCAGATTTTGTTTCATCAACTCTTATGTCTTCCTTCTCGTTTCTTCTCATAAATTTTTCCCACTATTCTCGTCGTCGTTTGTTTTCTGCTTCTTTTTTACTCCAGCTGTTGCTCCGACCTTTATCCATTGTGGTTGAAAATAAACTGATGCTATCAAAGCCCTAAATCAACTTTATATCTACACAAGCTTCTTGACATCTCCACTCATTGAACTGTATTTAACTATACGGTCGTACAAAATTAAGCAATAAGCTGACGTATTGGCAGGAAAATTTGTATGCGACTCAAATTCTAGCCTCACATCTACTGGAGCATTTTTCAATGACTCGTTTTGTTTTGAACAATCGAGAACGAGTAAAGGTATTTGATTGAGAAAGTGCTGTTTGCCCAGTGAAGGTGTACAATCTTTGCCATAGTATGAATTTTGAAAATTAGCATACATATGATATAGCAATGCATACTGGTTACGCGTTATATCAAGATTCAGATCACCATAAGGATAATATTGTGAATTTAAGTAGAGTTTCACATTTCTTATGTTGCAGTGATCAAACATACAGGCGCTTACATTTTTCTGATTTTTACGGTTAGTTTGAAAGGCTCAAATAACGTAACGTGGCTTTTATAACTGATTTGATGTATTAACTGTCCATATATGTTTGGATGTGCTAGGTAACAGGGGATACTCATATAATTCCCAAGTTCGAAAACTCATAGGTACAAACTTGTCTTTTTGCAGATAATTCAATAAACGAATTTTATGAGAATCTGACATTACCACATATGGCATAAGCCACTCGAGCTTCAATATTACTAGTTTAAAGTCTTCGCAAGTTTCTACGGCCGTGGGATCAGCAGCATTAGCATTAACTGGAGTTTGAAACACGGCATTTATATCTTTTCTTGCTCTTGTAAGCATAAGCTCATGTTTTACATTAACAACTATTTTACGATAGTCTTTAGCAAAACCCAAAATCATATTCAGTGGAAGCATGATATCAAAGTAGCCGTTATCATTTGTAAGATCATCAGCTTCTTCTCTAACACCAAGCCAACCAGCATTTATCATAAATTTTTGATCAGGACGAAGTAATAACCAATTTTTCATAAGGGTTGTTAATCCAACATTTTTGCACTTGTCGACCTCTATGGCATTTATCTCATATCTTATTTCTTCAAATAAGTGGCAGATTGCGTTGTTTATTAAAGTAGTATTAGTTACTGCTGTATTTTCATCTGCTTTGACCAATCTTCCATAAACATGTAAAGAACTTCTGGATGGTAGAAGACACAAATCTTGATGTTGAATTGAAATTCGAATTTCATCGCTGTTACCATATGTTGAAGATGCATACGGCTGATGAGCATGAATCTCATAGTGCGAAATTGATTCGTTAAATGCGACTGGAGACTGAATACTAAGAATCTCGTCCATTTTGTATACAACAAAAAAGTATCGAATTTAGTTTCCACCAGGGCTTTTTATTGTTAGACCGAGACTTTTTATAAACTGTATGTTTTGATGAGTTAGTTTTCGACGTGTTGGCTGTCTTCTTAGATGTCTCGATGCTTTTATGGACTGTTTTTTCTGACGTCTCAACGGTTTAAGAGCTCGTCGTTGACTGAGTGCTGGAGTGCATATTGAGCTACCTATATGATTTTTTTGATTATAAATGATACCCATTATGAAGAGGGTTTTATATGCAATCTTATAGTTATAACTTCACCACGAAAATTAACTAAATAACCGTCCTGATCTACTATACGTACTTGAATATGATTAATAATACGTCCAATAATCGATAAATAAATTATTTGTGAAGGAACTTCCATAATTTTATATCCTGGTGGTACTGCTGGAAAAAATTCATAAATCGTGTGCACTTTGTTGCTATTTATGTAAGTTCCTCTCGTAATGTTACATTCAACTCCTAATGCGTTTATCTTTAGAATAGCTACAGGTAAGTCTGAAATATGAGTGGTGTTATTGTTAAGAACTCACTGAGTGAAACCTAATAGACGACCTATAGAATCCTTAGGTCTAAAGTCAATGGTATTATTGTTTGGCGTAATATCAAGAGTTATGTTGCGAGGTTGTAATACTTCAATTAAAAATGACTTAATATCTTCGATCTCATAACTACCGATTGGTAATACAATAACTTGATTGTCAACGTAAAATTTATTACAATTTTCATCAATATTTGGAATTGAGTTGAATGACAAAAGTTCTACTAAGCCAAGAACGTAGCTGTGTTTTGGCGATAATTCAATAGGTAGAAAATACTGTGCTTCTAAAACAGAAGAAGTACCAGAAAGGCTTAATGTTAATGTTTTTTCCATCATTGTCAAAGTACAACTAAGAGGTTTCTCTTGATGTAAGAAAGTTATATTTGTTTTGAAAGAAACTTTAAGCATAAATGACCGCAGTTGTAAGAGCTAAATTTTTGATAACGCTTATGATTATATTTACATTATTAACTTTTAGATATAACATTAAGTCGATAGGTGGCTGAAGATCTCCAATACTGTCAAAATATACAACATTATTACCACATTTTCGATAAGCTACCCAGTGAGTTCCAGGTCCATTCATATCATCAAGATTTACTATAGCTGTTTCAGAAAACCGCGGGCCATCAGCAGGTAAGTTGTTTCTCATGAATACTCCACGAAAACGTGGGATTTTTAAGATTTTAGAATATTTCATCAAATCTATGTTGGTCAGAGCTCCATCAGGTAATTTTACTGCTTTAAACTTGTTTTGATTTTTTTTTTGTTTCTTCTTTTTTTTTCTTTAAACCTTTTCCAACGTAAGGCTTTAAATAGACTCCTAATCCAGTTTTATGAGGTCTGAGATAAAGACCTTTCCCGAGGGCAATAGCTTCCATGGTTTGATTATGTCTCTGACTCTCAGCTAGCTTCTTTTTGGCTGACTTAGCATTGATGCTTT